ACGGTCATGCCACGCCTTCGTATTTTCGAGAAGTGGTAGCCCGGGCAGTGTGGCTAGAAGGCGGGCATAGTGGATCCAGGTGGTCATGTTCTGGATAAAGAGGTCTCGGGTACGAGCAATCCCCAACTCTAGACGTAGAGCTTTTCCCACCCGAGCTCTATCGTCAACCTCCAAAAATATAAGCTCATCTGTGGAGCAAGTCCAACTGAATGCTCCCCTCTTCGTATCACAGTGTAAAGGCCCCGAAGACGGATGCTCCAACTCGGAAGTGGGAGGAGGGACTTGAGAGTCAAGCCTGTGGCTCTCCTCCTCTGAAATATCATCAAGCTCATCATCATCTTCTTCGGCCTCACACATTTGCTTCATCGTGCGGGCTTGAGTATCAAGCATGAGGTGGGGGTAGTCGACTTTTGCCTCGATTGAGCTGGTATATGCTGCAAGAATCTCCATTTGTGTGCTCAGTCGAGCACACCCGAGCTCAATCTCCATATCTCGAGTGGACTGGGCAGATATGCGAGCAAGGATGAGGTCGAGCTTCTCATCGAACGACAAAGCAGCCTCCCGAGGCTCGTCTCTATGTGTAGGTTCGCCTTGAGCGGTGGGCTCGGGAGTGACATTGGTTACTCGGTCCTCTAAGGCTTGCACGCGCTCCACTAGGTTCTCGATCCTGGACTCAAGATTGCTCTTACGGGCTGTTTGGGATGCCAAAAGAGTGAGGACTTGGTCGAGCTTGGCGTTATATTCTGAGGAATCCTCGAGGGACTCACATGACTGCTCAACAGGCCTGGACTCCCACTGCTGCTCGTAAGGATACGACCAAATCTGGCCGTTGTCCCAAGAATCGTAGAATGGAGGTGGCTGGTTCAATTGGGCACATCGGGTTGTTGTCTCTTTTTCCTGAGCTAACTGGGATATTGTGAAATTATAGATACGGTCGAGCTTCTCGTTGAACGCATGGGACTCATAATATTGCTCGACCGGGAGGGGGTCCCAGTACTGCTCAGAAGAGTAGGGATAAGATTGAATGTGGTACCCGATATGGTAGCTTGGCTCGTGGACCCAAGATTGGGTGTGCGAATAGGGGAGCACACAGTTGTAACTAATACTACCTGCACACCAAAACAGAACAACCACGCGTAGCCACGAAAAGACAAGAAAAAGAAAACAGAAACAAGAAAGACAAAAAGAAAAACAAATATGCACAAAAGAGAGAACAAAAATACGAAAATCAAGAAAATAAGAGAAACAAAGAAAATAAAATCAATACCAAGACCAAATGTCCTACTTGCCTTCCCCGGCAGCGGCGCCAAATTTGTTGTGTACAAATTATTCTTTTTACCGAGTACCGAATCTAAAGATTCGTTCCCCAGGTCGATCTCACGAGGAAGGTTGTTCGGAATTTAGTTCTGATATCGATAACACATAAAAAGAAAACAAACCTAAACACTCTAATTGAATAAGGATGGATGAATAATTATCAACTAAGAAATAATAAAAAGCAATAACCTACCTAAGAAGATAAACGAAACAATGAAAAAGAAGCTAGGGAATCGGGGATAATTAATTCAAGTTCTAGCAAAACCGGGCAATCAATTGTTCGGTTCAAGATTGACACTCTCGCTTAGACATCTAGCGGTTCGCTCCCAATAACTCTTCGTAACAAGGGATTGAACATGGACGAACAAGTTCGAGCATACGACACAGGCCAATTATCCCAATCTCAATAACTTTTCATAACAAGAGACGGGTCATTGACAAGTGCGTATTTCAATCTAAAACACGTAGATTAGTCAATTACGACATCTTCTACCTCATGTGAGCCTAAGTCTACGACTTTTCCCATTTCGGTTCAAAAAGTCGCTAATTCAATTAGAAGGGTATTAACCGACTAATCACATAGAATCAACAAAACCCTAACTCAACTAATCAACATTCAATTGTTACCAATTGCAAGATCGAAGTGTCACTCTTCGATTATATCAATCAATCAAGCAAGAATATATCAATTCCTAATTAAAACAACTCACCCAAGTATGAACGAATCGAAGCCCGACAAGTACAATTCAAACAAAACAATCATCCCCTATCCCTAGCAATCGGATTTAGCTACGAATATTAAATTCAACAACCATGATCAATCCTCTCAAATAATCATTATTCATGAATCAAATAAGAGAAATGAATACTTACAATCAATCCAAATTCCAGTTGAATTCAAAATACAAGCTAAACCCTTGATAATAATGAAAAGAAGAAGAAAAATGGAGAAAAGAAAAGGGAAGAGAAGAAGAATATGAAGGAAAGTGAAGGGGGGAGGAGATTTTTGGACCTAGGGTTCCTCCCCCTTCAAGCTGGAAGTCAAAAGAATGGAGAAAAAACGAGTTTTGGGGCTTTTTATACTATTATGGGACTTGCAGAGGGTCATAACGCCGCTACGACCATAGCGGCGCTTTGGGATGAAATGCTCGAGCCTCTGCCCATCGCTTTGCTATGTAACGCCGCTATCTGGGGCCATAGCGGCGCTATGTCCATAGCGGCGCTATGGCCTGGGCAGCTTTGCACGATTTCACTGTTTGGGCTCGTTCGGGTTCGTTTGGACTCGGAATTCGATTCCGCTTTTTCCCGTGTGTTGCCAACGAACTCCTCTATTTAATTGTGCTTGCACAATAAGCTTTTGCCCAAAATTATGTCCTCTTGAAGCTTCAGACCTACACACCATAAACAAAGAAAAACGGAAAAACACACAGAAACACAAGAAAAAAACTGAAATAGATCAAAACACGCAATAAACTACAAAAACGAATAAAACCCAAAGAAAAGACTCAGTATGGGGGAAAAAGAAAGACAAAAAGACAACGAAAAATTCAACAAAAATGGGACAAACAACTCCCCCACACTTAATCCTTTGTTCGTCCCGAACAAAAAGAAAACAAAACAAGACAAGAGCATGGATTCAGTTTCAAATGAGAAAAGCTTCAAAATGCCCAATTCAATTGAGAAGAATTCAAACAAACATACGACCACGTGCCTCAAATATCGACTTGGCCTTGAAATGACAAACTCTCAAAACATAGAATATCATATATGCCTCACTCATTTTCTTACATGAATAAGTGATAGGAACGCTCAAAATTGGTCAATATTCAAGTTTCAACATATGCTTGCCAAACGTTTAAATTACTCGAAAACAATCAAAGCTTAAAAACTTGCGAATCAAGAGGACTTCACGGGTTGCAATGCGGGATTGAGGTAAGGATATATATGCCAGAAAAATAGCTCAAATATACAATCACCATCCTCGAGTAAATAGATTACTCGAGTTCTCCGCTACAGATCCGGAATGAACAATATAGCACATTCACCATCCAACCAAAACAATTCCACAAACAACACCTAACTGCTCTCATCGAACTACAACATCACTTGACCCATTTTTTTTTTCTTTTTTTTTTCTTCATTTTTTTTTATTTAGAGAGTAACTTTTTCCGAACAAGATCGAATCAAAAGGACAACATTCTGTAGGTGTGTGAACATTGGAGGTTATACAAGCGTCCTACAGTAGTTTCCCATGCTCATTACCCGTCGACATGAGTCGAATAGTAAGAGGAGCAGAATCCATTCGATTGGTCCTGTGAGCTCTCATGTTTTTATTTTTTATTTTTTTTTGTTTTTTTTATTAGGTCAAGCAATAGAATCCACTCCAATTCACCTCATTTAACAACAACATTATTTCCACCAATCATCACTGAATCAGTCAACGAAATATATTTCATGTAGGGTGATAAGAAAAAGGCTCAAAGCTCAAATGGGCTACTAGAAAAAATCTTTTCGGATTTTGCATGATTATGTGGTGGATCGGTCTAGCTTTAGGATTTTGTTTTTTTGAGCATGGTATTGGTGGATTATATGAATTGTTGATGAATGTTTGATGAAATTGGGAAGTTGTGATGATAGACGTGTGGTCATTGCCTCGATATTTTCTATTGGAATTTTAGATGGAATTTGATGATTCCAACGATTATTTTTCCAACGGATTTTTACCATCGGAATTTCTTTTGGAGTATGGAATATTCGTTGGAATTTTTATTTACACCCTTGTTGGAAAATCTACCGTTGGAATTGTCAAATCCAACGGAAATTTTAATGAAAAGTTCATTTCAACGGAATATTGTTGTTGGAACTTTCGTAGAATCCATTAAAATAAAATTCAATTAAAATTTTCCGTTGGAATTTCATCATTTTTTGTAGTGCTATACGCCGCCTCGACCATTCGCAAACCGAACTCTCCAAGAGTGTTGATCCATTGACACCATCGAACTTTACCGTAATTGGCCCAGTTACGAACCCTTAGTAATTGTACCTCGGCCTCTGAACCTTAAACACCCATCGAGCCTAAACCTGAGCTTGACCTCGTTGCACGTCGTACCGAGCCACAATCTGATGCTATATATATGATGCATAATTTGACCCTACCCATGAGGCACTGTCCCAAGAGACTTTCGCCGTTAATTTACACATAATCACACTCACACCCACATGGGTGTGTGTGCAATTAATGCTGAAAAACCCCATGAGGGCAATGGCACATGAGGTCGGGCCAAATTTTCCGTATGCGAAAATATAAAATATACATTCACTTACATGTATGGGGTTCAACTAGTATTTTTTAACGGTTCAACCAGACTGCCCTCGAGGGGTAGGGCAGAATTTTTCCATATGCAAAATATAAAATATACATTTACTTACATGTATGAGGTTCAACTGGTATTTTCAAACGGTTCAACCGATTAGACAAGTGATCCTATTACGCAACCGAGCTTTGTATGATATGTTCGGTTCAAATCGATCGAGTTTAAGAACATTAATTTCGTTTACTCTGCATGTTTTGAATCAAAAAAAAAAAAAAAGCAAAATTTATTTTGAAATCTTATTTTATCTGCTGCATACATTACAATCTAAATGGTCTGTTGCTTGTGCAGAGTATATTATTTGATACATTCATGATCCAAGCTGGCTCAGATGGTTCCGGTGTGGCTACTGAGATGGTGAACTTAAATTCGACGGTCAAAATGATTTTTCGCAATAGAGGTACATTTTTCGGAGTCCATGTAACATCCACACCGTTGAATCTTGCCTACTCCGAACTCACGATCGCCAGTGGAACTGTAAGTAGTTAATATACGACTCATTTAAAGTTTTTCTTGTTCTAATTTTATATATCTTTCGTATGCATATGCATATTTTTTACTTGGATCAACTAAAGAAAATTTATTATTGTTTATTAATATTTGCAGATAAGAAAATTTTATCAATCAAGAAGCGGTCATAAAACGGTAACAGTGATGTTGAGAGGCAGCAACATTCCATTATACGGTGGTGGAGCCGAATTGAGCAGTCTAAACGGGAAGCCGGTGGCCCCGGTACCCTTGACGCTTAATTTCACAGTTCGGGCCAGGGCTTATATATTGGGCCAATTGGTTAAGCCCAAATTTTACAAAAGAGTCCAGTGCTCCCTAGTTGTGGACCCAAAGAAAATGAATGTCGCTATACCATTGAAGAACTCGTGCACCTACGATTAAATTGTTCTTTCAGCAGATGATAATATGGGAGAATTGAAGTGTTCTTTGTACGTAATATTATTGTTGATTACAATTCGGTGCTTTTTTTTTTTTTTGTGTCTCATAGTGAAATACATGTTTGAAATGGTGGAGGCCTTTTTGTAATAATGGGCCTAGGAAAGGAATTGTCGTTGAAGCTGAAATTGGGCCTGTTATGTTGCAGAGGAAGGTGTTATAGTTGATACACTATGGTAAAATTTCATTTGTGATGAAAATGAGTCAAATAGTCAATCCATGGTTATCTAATAGACAATGTACCGAAAAACTGAAAGAGAATTTTCTAAAATTCATTGTTGTTTTTATGGATGTTTTTTCTTCACCCATTATAAGTCGGCCTTGGGGTATGTATATATGGGCTCAATTAGTAGGAAAATTTTCAAGGTAAATTGCGCCAAACCCCCCTGTATTATATTAAATCTGTGCGTTATTTCCTTGTAATTTTAAAAATGCGTCAAACCCCCTTGTAATGTACTTTTGCATGCGCGAAGCACCCTAAACCGTCTAAGATGACGGAAGTGGTGTGCACGCGCGTGTTGTGCGGTTTTTTCTTCATTTTAAAAATGCGTCAAACCCCCTTGTAATGTACTGCATTATTATATTACTTATAATTTATATTTATCATTATATTATTTATAACATATAATCTATTTATTCAATCATTATATTATTTAAAATATAGAATATATTTACTTAAATATTATATTACTTATAATTTAAAATATATTTACTTAATTATTATATTACTTATATTTTAGAACAATTTATTCATTTATAATAAAATCTACATTCTTAATTATTATATTATTTATAATTTATAATTATCATTATATTTTAGAATATAGTTTATTCAATTATTATATTATTTATAATATAGAATCTATTTATTCAATCATTTATTATTTATAATTGAGAATATATTTATATATATTTATAATTTATAATGTATATTGTTTGTCCCATTTTTGTTGCATTTTTTGTTGTCTTTTTGTCTTTCTTTTTCCCCCATATTGAGTCTTTTCTTTGGGTTTTATTCGTTTTTGTAGTTTATTGCGTGTTTTGATCTATTTCAGTTTTTTTCTTGTGTTTCTGTGTGTTTTTCCGTTTTTCTTTGTTTATGGTGTGTAGGTCTGAAGCTTCAAGAGGACATAATTTTGGGCAAAAGCTTATTGTGCAAGCATAATTAAATAGAGGAGTTCGTTGTCAACACACAGGAAAAAGCGGAATCGAATTCCGAGTCCAAACGAACCCGAACGAGCCCAAACAGTGAAATCGTGCAAAGCTGCCCAGGCCATAGCGCCGCTATGGACATAGCGCCGCTATGGCCCCAGATAGCGGCGTTACATAGCAAAGCGATGGGCAGAGGCTCGAGCATTTCATCCCAAAGCGCCGCTATGGTCGTAGCGGCGTTATGACCCCCTGCAAGTCCCAGAATAGTATAAAAAGCCCCAAAACTCATTTTTTCTCCATTCTTTTGACTTCCAGCTTGAAGGGGGAGGAACCCTAGGTCCAAAAATCTCCTCCCCCTTCACTTTCCTTCATATTCTTCTTCTCTTCTCTTTTCTTTTCTCCATTTTTCTTCTTCTTTTCATTATTATCAAGGGTTTAGCTTGTATTTTGAATTCAACTGGAACTTGGATTGATTGTAAGTATTCATTTCTCTTATTTGATTCATGAATAGTGATTATTTGAGAGGATTGATCATGATTGTTGAATTTAATATTCGTAGCTAAATCCGATTGCTAGGGATAGGGGATGATTGTTTTGTTTGAATTGTACTTGTCGGGCTTCGATTCATTCATACTTGGGTGAGTTGTTTTAATTAGGA